AAAAATAGTTTCTAAACTGCCTATGTAATTAATAAAAATAATTTAAAAATATTTCCTTCACCAATTTCTATATCCATTATAAACTATATAATTAGCATAGATGATTAAAATACATCGATCACACAAATTTTTTATTTTATTTTCAAAAGCTAATATCTAATGTGAATGCAACTGATTTAAACCTATGTTGCAATGTAATGACATTTTTAATTATCAAGAAAGATTTGTGAAAAGAAATACATAAAAATAACATTATTAAAATTGATTTTATTCTAATCTCGCAGCTTTTAGCATTTTTTAATTCAAAATATCATTTTGATTGAAATCAAATACATCGACAAAAAAATTCTGCCATAGCCATCAATTAAACAAAATTAAAAGAGTACTGTAAAGCTTATTTTTGCTGCATTTGCTTGCAACAAATTATGTACCGTCACTCCATTTAAAACGTTTCTTTCACTAACTACAACTTACCCATTTTAATCAATTCTCATTTTTTACAGAATTCGTTTTTATTTTCCTTATCGAAAAAAGCAAGCTTTCAAACTTATCTTATATTTTTTTTAAATGCTAAATCAGAATTTTTTACTTTGGTATGTAATATGAATCTATTTTTTTGAAAAGAAATGAATTAATTGAGATTGAAAAATAAAATATTTTTTGAGATAAAAATATCAATAATGAGCAAAGATTTACTTTGAATGTTTAAGTAAATTAAAACAAGAAAATTAAAATGTCTGGCTAATATGTTTTTTTGTGATTTGATTAATTGCTTACTGCTAACTATATTTTTCATACTGTGTGCAATATATCATTTATATTAACTCTGATTGTGAAAAGAGTAACGGAGCTTCTACAAATATATTTTTTGCTTCGACATAATTGGAATAACTAATCATATGAAATACATAAATTCAGAGTTTTAGTAATTAAGTAAGATAAATCTAAAATATGCACCACACTCTTTTTAATACAGATTTTTTTTATATCTCTATTTTCAATTTAATAAAAAAAAAATTTAAATCTGTATATTTACGCATTTCCATACAATGTAAATGTCTTTATAAATTTAGAGTTTTAGTAATTAGGTAAGAAAAATATAAAATATGCACAACACTCTTTTTAATACACTTTTTTTTTACGTCTCTCTTTTTAATTTAATACAGATTTTTGTTCTTAAATCTGTATATTTACGCATTTCAATACAACGTAAATGACTTTATAAATTTAGAGCTTTAGTAATTAAGTAAGAAAAATCAAAAGTATGCACCGCAATCTTTTTTAATACAGGTTTTTTTACATCTCTATTTTTAATTTGATACAGATTCTTGCTTTTAAATCTGTATATTTACGTATTTCAGTGCAACGTAAGTGACTTTATAATTTGAACTATTGAATTCCCGTCCTCTGTAGGAAGTAAAACAAATTAAACAATCTATGAATTAATATCTATGAATGAATAACACTGCGAAATCATTCATAAAATTGAAAGTAGTGTCTATGGTACATAGTATAATTGTCTTATGATTGTGCTGTTTTAACATAGATACCTTGGAAAGAGGTTTCTAAAAGGGTCTTCAAAAAGGATAAAAACCTGTGAAAATTGTTAATTTTTGGACCAGAATTTTGATTATCATCAATTTGACTCAAGAAATTTGACAACAGTTTCAAGGTGCTCTAATTTTTATGTCAACGAGTGTATATTAAAATATTTTGCATTGATGAAAATTGCGCCAATTACCATAATACCAAATGTGTCAAGTTCCGGAATCCTTTAAGCAATATAGGTTTCAATAATGGTGGGGCAATTTTTTATGTTCCGCATTAACGAATAAGTACATTTTCTCCATAAATTTCGATATAGCTTATTTAGTTTTTTTCACTCATTACCTATTAAAAAAAATTAAACGTAATTGGCATCAATAATAACATATTGCAATTTTTTTATGTTTTAATTAAAAGAATCAGAATTATTTCTCCCTTATTTTGCATCATAGTTTTTTTTTAACGGGATAGGGATTTCGCCTTCCGATGAGTTCAACAGGGTACGAATCCCAGTAATTGCTGGTCTATTTGAGTTCAGCATCCGGCTCGCACCGACCTCAGTGCTGGCGTAAAATATCTTCAGTATTAAACAGTTCATGGGTTAGATTCCCCTTGCCGTCAAGCTAGCCTTGGAAGGTTTCCATGGTTTTCCTCTCCATGTAACGCAAATACAGATTTCCATCAAGCAAACCTCCACGAGGGCACATTTCTCTCCGTACTTGATCGAGGAGTTCCCTTGTCTTCTTGATTGGGTTCAAAATTACACGGCAACGGAGCTGAACATCAGTAGTCGTAAGCCCATAAAATTGGGCCTGCTGTTCAACGAAGGTTGAACAGCCTTTAAAAAAATTCTGTATTTGTCTTTTAAGTATATAAAATATGCAATATGTATAAAATATATTAAATATATAAAATATTTTTCTTAAAATGCCGTTGATTTTAAATTATTTAGTTTTATAGAAATTCGTTTTAGAAGCATGATCATAAAAAAAATAAACATGGTGTTTCTTATTACTTAAGAAATACTAATTTAGACGCGTGATCTGCCTATGCTACTATGCTCACGTGAATTATTGAGTTTATCTATCATAGCGAATAAAAAATAATTCGATATCTTACATGCAATAAACATGTGCAATAAACTCCTTTTCGGGTTAGTAATTGCTATAAGCAAGCATCATTGATGTTATGCAGCATATTTATAGTAGAAAAAAACAGAATCGGATGTAGTTTTATTAATATCAATGTTGCTAGCTCTAAGATAATGAGAAAAATTCATTTTTAAATATTCCTCCTGAATTTCTTAGGATTGGGGGCTAAATTTGCTGCATTCACCCATCGTCTATATATTTCACGATGATTCTAGAATTAAAAGAGATATAGACAATCAAACTAACTCTTATTTTTATTTTTATAAATAAAATAATACTCGCAACAAGAAACTATTCAGAGGTGATTGTTATACTGAAATGAGCAGAATGTAATAATTATTTCTACTGTCTTGGAAACAGGAACGAAAAAAAATTAATTCTGATTGAAAAGTTTAAAGCAAATTTTTTTTACTCTGTCTTTTCAAAAAGGAATAGTTTATTTGAAACGCTGATTAGTAATTGTACTTAAAAAAAACTTACTACTCGTAACTTTTATTGCTCTGTTAATTACATATGATTCTGACAGGCGCCTGTTAGAGATACAAGTTTTTTCTGAAAAATACAATTTTTACAAATCTTTTAAAAGTAAAATGGAAATGTAAAACGCTTAAACTCTAAAGACTTTTTAAATAAAACCACTAGCAATTAATTAAAAAAGATAGCTATTAATTTCGAATACCTGAATATAATTCCGGAAGTTAATACATGATTATTCTTGTCTGAAATAGTAATAATTTCAACTCTAAAAAAATGTTTGTTAAGAAAAAGAGAAATAAAATCAAATGCGATTTTTTAGATATTAAAATTTAAGTTTAAATAAATATACCAGTTAAAGAAACCTAAAGTTTTCTCATTCCCCCGATTTGAGCTTTTGTCAACATCTCGAATTTACTGAGGGGGTGGGTAAGGGTCAAGCGGAAGAACAATTTAACATTAAAATTTTGGATAATTATATTTTGTTTCTTATGTAACTTTCACGCTGCATCAACTGAAACGAAATCAATATCGATAGTACTAATAGATCAAATGTTTTTAAAGTTTTAATATATAAATAAGCACAGTTTTGTACATTCTTGTATATGTATTAATACATATACAAGAAAGTAATGAAATATGGGATTCCACGCTCCTTATTTTGAGCGAAATCTATTGAGGCCAAAAACGAGTTGATTCATCTTACAGATAAGAAGCTATGAGAGTTATAATTCATAACTTAGAACTTTTTACTCATAAAACACTTATTTCTTTGAATTTGTTATTTACCTATAGCATTTCATTTCATAGAATTATTGTAAAAAACATACAATGCGTCACTTGTTTAATATAAATACCAGGTGCTTAAGCAGGTATTTGTATGAAAAAAAGTTCTTTGTATACATGAAACCATTTTGATCTATAGATAAAAACTTAAAAACTTGAGAGCTATTGAACTGTTACATTTATCAATTGTTTTTAACTCATTCAAATCAGTGCAAAGTAGTGCATAGGAAATTACATTTTACTGGTCTAGAAAGGAATTTTAGAAGTGTACTGAACAGTTTGCCTATTAAAAGAACAGCCTTTGCCACAAAGTCTCAGGCCTTCCGCTTCCATGATTAATATTGTGCCGATTTTTTTTTACAATGCCTACCTGGAGAATGACCTTTTATCATACAGGCATCTGAAGGGCAGCCGACCGGTCTGTGTAGGGGGCAGGGAGCTGTGCTTGCATCAGAAAGGTCCTGGGTTCGAATCATTGATTCATTGATGTTTCTTTCTCTCTCTGTGTGTTCTATGTCCTTACTCCTGTGTGTGTGAATGTGACCCGCTCTATAAACGGGTTGTGGTTGTGTGAATGGCGTGGCAAAAGTTGAATTCCTGTCCATAGATGGCGCCACTGAATAACAGGAACAATTGCATCCTTACTGCCTGAACAGGCATACGACAAAAAAAATCTGAAGGGCAGATTTGTTGACCACTCTTTCAGGGACAATATAGATGGGCCAATGTTGCTCGCACAGCAAGGACAGATAGTGCAGAGAATGAAATAACATCCATACCTTGCCCGGGATTTGAACCCAGAACCTTTCTGACCCAAGGCTAGTTCCCTGACCCCTGCACAGGCCGGTCGGCTTGAAGTCGAAAGTAGTGATGAGAAAAAATATTGTGTCGAAACCAGTTAGATACCTTATAATAACTTTAAATTTTCCCCGAATCATTAAGAATGGAGCAATTTTTGCAACACCGCACATGTGTTTTTTATCATGATTAATTTTATAAAAAAATAATCCCTCTCTTGTTAAATATATGAATTTATCTTTGCAGGTTTTCATAAAGATATTCCTGGTTATCCTCGATACAGTATGGTGGTAGATGATAAAAGAGGTGTTTACAATTTACGATTAAGAGGCGTTCAACTGGAGGATGAAGGAGAGTACCAGTGCCAAGTAAGTGCCAAATGCAATTTTAAAAATTAATGCTTATCTTGTTTATTGTAATGTTGATATAAAAATTTGCATAGGAATGCTAGTTTTAGGATACCAATGCAAAGAGATACCAAACTGATTGATCATCAGAAAGTTAAAATCAAAAACAAATCCTAATTTTTTTTTTTTAAATATTGATCAATCAAAATTGCAAAAATGCTTCTGGTTATTTATAGAACAAAAAAAAGTTGCTTATGTTTATTAGAAATTTAAATAAAGATGAATTTAATGAAAGTGGAGAAAAATGATTCCATAAATATGCTTTAACCATATTTGATGTTGGTAATACAGTCTATTTGTTGTTAATATTAATGCATAATTATTACCCAACACATAGATTTGAGATATTCCTTGTGAACTACCAGCACTGTCTCCTAAGCACACAAACATCTAATGTACGCTCATTCCTCTAAAACTCGTTAAGTCCTGATTTAACTGGTTTCCGGAAAATTAAAGCAACCTAACAGTATCAAGTATTACCTAAACAGTTTCTATAAAAAGTTTCCAGATATACAGGAATGCAATACTTTCCATGCATCACCTAAACATTTTCCAACAAAACATCTTCCAAATATGCAGGGAAATACAATGCATTTTAAACTTAATCCAAACTTTTTCTATAGCGTCTTAAATTTAGAAAGAAAAATTGATAATATATTTAATGATTGTTATCAATTTCATTAAAGTCTTCATCTTTGGAAACTAATTTGATTTCTGTCAATTAGCTCCAGTGATTTAAAACGGCATACGTGTATGTCTCTGGATCCTGTATTATGTGAGTAATGTAATTAATTAATAGAGTGTCTTACTGACGTTGCATCATACACTGTCATAAGAAGAAAAGGAGTCAAAGAGCAGAACTTGAAAAATATAGTTATGGATAATTGAACTAATATCAATGAAACTATGAAAGATTTGACTTCCTTCACTTCAGCTTTAATAGCTTGATGAGTCAGTGAAACAAAATCTAAATACGATTTTTTTCAAATATTATTATGCTGTTGGTAAAGAAATGTAGAAATTCATGGCAGTAACAAACAGAATAACAAATCTGTAAAACGGAATCACAAATCGGAAACAGAACAACTGAAAAGTAATGAATATAATTTTGAACAAGTGGCTCAGGTAAAAGATTTAGGTACAATAGTAAACGATAATAGTGACGTAAAAATTGAAATCGAAAATAGATTCAACATGGCAGTTAGATGTTATCATGAATTGAGAAACCAGTTCAAATCTAAATACATAAGCTGTGGAACAAAAATACAGTTGTACAAGTTACTAGTGAGTTCAATAGTTTTATTTGCAGCGATTGTTGGGTATTTAACAAAGCAAAAACTGTTGACTTTTGAGAGAAAAATATCTAGAAAATTTTTTTGGCTCAGATAGAGAAAACAGAACCTGGAGAATTCGTTACAACCATGAATTACAATCAAAATACAAAGAACCTAAAATAGTAAAAATGATCTAGATTTCTCAAATAAGGTGAAAAGGACGTGTATTTTGATATGGCGATGAAAAACCCGTTAAAAAAATAACCTTCCAAACAAGGAAAAAAAGAGGAAGACCTAGAACAAGATGATTAGATAGAATAAAAAAAGTGATTAAAGGACTCAGGAGTTAATAGATTTAGAAATATAGCATTAGAAAGATGTAGATGAGGCAAACTGACTAAGACGCCCTTGGCCGGTAACTAGCTGTATCGCATAAGAAGAAGAATGAAAAGAATCTAGTTTGAAAAGCTTAATTTATTAACTCCATTAAAATATTAGAACTCCAAGAACTGCATTAAAAATAAGAAAACCATAACAGGGTGGTTTTTAAACTGAAGTCGACTGTCTCAATTTTCTGAGTCGATTCAAAAGCCAACAAATAATAGTGAATCTTATAAATTGCATTGATGAGCTTTTATATATTATTGCAAATTATGTTTATAAATTATTATAACATTCAAAGAAAACAATGTTATCAAGACCGAGTAAATAAAGCATTCCCGCAATTAGCAAAAGTCATTAAGGTAAAAATACCGCAATTTTGAGTCCAAAGATATGACACGACAGTGCTTAGCATTTCGTGTCATCCACCTCTACTTCTTAAACTAACTGATACACATTGACATGAAACACGGTGGGTTTTATCAGGAATAAAATCATGAACATTCTCAATAGCAGCTCAATTACTTATTTGTTGTGTCATTTCAGCTTGTAGTTTTTGCTTACTTCCTGCTAAATGTAAATAAAAATATGGGTTTTACGATCCAAAATGCTGTAGTGAACTTTCCTTCCTCGCCATTTTTGAGCCATCTGTAGTTTATAGAATCTTTGAGAGTGTGCTATCGCAAATTTGCATTTTGATTTATGCGCATACACTGACATATCACTATGACTTATGCGCATACACCAGCATATTCATTAAGATATTCACTCAAAGCAATTATTTTATATCAAAGTTACAGCTAAAAATATAATTTAATTGTTCTTCATCGACTTCATCTCACATAAAATATTAATTAGACATGGAATGTTTTCGTAGATATTAAATTAATCCATTTAAAACGATAAAATATATTTTTGCTTCTTTGCATATTCTATTCAAACCAGGCGTATAACTCAGCAATTTTTAATTATCATCGAAATTAACTTTCATTAAGTAAATTGCAGATTACGAAAATATTACGACAAATCCCATTTACCCCAGTCTATTTTAATCATAAAATCTTTAATCGCACCATAAANATTAACTTTAAAGCCAAGGTTTAACAGGAATCTACCAAAACATTTATGCCAACAACGAGGAGCTTGTTTAAGGCCATACAAACTTTTCTTGAGTTTGCATACATCGTTGGTGCCATTAGTGTAACCTTCAGGTTGATACATGTAAATGGTTTCCTCTAAATCACCATATAAAAAGGCAGTTGATACATCAAATTGCGTAAGATGCATATTCTCACAAGCTGCAATACTTATTATTGAACGTACAGTTCCTAACTTAGTAACTGGACTAAAAGTTTGATTGTAATCGATACCCTTTCTTTGATTAAAGCCTTTAATCACAAGTCTTGCTTTATACTTATCTATAGTACCGTCAGGATTTTTCTTAATACGAAACACCCACTTACAAGGCAAAGCCTTGGCTTTCTCTGGTAAAGGTGTTAATATCCATGTTTGGTTTTCTTTTAGTGATTTGATTTCAGCATCCATTGCTTTTATCCAACAATTGTGTTCTTTACAATTGATAGCTTCTTCGTATGACTCTGGCTCATTTGAATCTGATATGAAACTTTCAGCTGCCATTTCATAGTCTTCTAAACTTTTAGGCTGTTTTAGTTCAGTGCGATTTCTCAGTTTCATGGTAAATAAATTTTCTCTATCTTCACTTTCCTTTTCTGAACTCATTTTCTCTTTTAAGTAATTTTGATCAAGCTTTCCCTCATTTTCAGCTTCTGTAGGCAACTTACTCATTGTATCAATTAAAGGTATTACAACAGAATCTTCGCAATTAGTTAGAGGTTTCTCATCAAATATTACATCTCGAGAACAGATAACATTATTGTTTTCCTTTATCCAGATACGATATCTTTCATCACCATCATATCCCAATAGATAACCTTTTATTGCTTTCTTATCCATTTTTCTACGTTTCTGTCTTGGTATATGGACATAGCATGATGATCCTACTATTCGCATATGTTTTATTCTGGGTCTTTGCCCCATCCATAGTTCATAAGGACTTATGTTTGGTAATGAACTTTTTCCTGTTCTGTTTAATATGTACGCAGACGTATTTATCAGTTCTGCCCATAATGATGAAAGAAAATTTATTTCTGAATTGGAATTCTTCAAAGTTCTTGCCATTTCTACTAAAGTCTTATTCTCTCGTTCACTGCCGCAATTCTTCTGAGGCGTATAAGGAGCTGTTAGTCTTTGAATAATTCCACCTTTATGCAAGATTCTTCTCACATTTTCATTATCGAATTCTCCCCCATTATCACTCAAGATCTCCTTGATATTGTGCCCTAGATTTTTGGCATGTGCTAACATATTTTCAAGAGCTTGGGTAACTTCTGATTTCTTATGAAGATAAAATACATAGCGAAATTTAGTAAAATGACCTTTAAAAACTACAAAGTAACGATACTTTTTAAATGATTGATCAAAAGGTCCACAGACATCTGTTGAGATAAGCTCTCCTGGGCTTTTGGTCTTCTGTCTATTACCAAATTTCAATCGATGAGCTTTACCGTATATACATGCTTCACAGAGTTGATTGTTAAATTCAACTTTAAGTTCCATTTGCTTTTCAAGAACATTCTTTACATGGCGTTTGTCTTGGTGTCTCCAGCGCTCATGATATAATTACAGAATAGAATCACTTGTGGTAACTAAGTTCACTTCCACTGGATTGTTTGGAATACGAACTTGCATATGTGCTTTATATAAACCACCTCTTACATTTCTTGTACCATAGAGTACAGTTTTGTTACCAATTTTTAACCATAATTCTTCCGTTGTTGATACGAATTTACTGTTTTCGTTTCTATCCTGTGCTACTAGTACTGAAAATAAATTTTTCTTAATATCTGGGACAGGCCAAACTTCTTTAAGTTCTTTAAATTGTCTCTCACCATTAACTTTTGTCATAATCTTTAAAGTGCCTCTGCCTATAGCTGGTAGTACCTTACCACTTGCAGCAGTAATCCCATGCGGGGAATCAAAAACTTCAAAATCGGCAAAGAATTTACTATTATTGGTGACATGTTTTGAAGCACCATTATCTATAAACCAATCGTAGCTGCTTTCTTCAAGTGAAAAAACTTCTTCGTGAAGAGCTAATAATGAATTATTTGCAATAACATTATCTCTATCTTGAAGATTTTCATTTTGCTTTGGCTTAGCTGGCCTACCATCGGCAATCCACTTTCGACAATTTTTCACCCAGTGACCATTTTGATGACAGTAGTT